TGTATTCATATCCAGGTCCTCTATTCTGTTCCACTGGTCTTCATATCTGTGTTTGTGCCAGTACCATGCTGTTTTTATTGTTTTGGCTTTGTAATATAGTTTGAAGTCGGGTATTGTGATACCTTCAGCATTGCTCTTTTTGCTGAGTATTGCCTTGGCTATTCGTGGTCTCTTGTGTTTCCAAATGAAGTTTAGAGTAGATTTTTCAATCTCTGTGATGAATGTCATTGGGATTTTGATGGGAATTGCATTGAACATGTAGATTGCTTTTAGTAGTATAGCCATTTTTACTTCTTCAATCCATGAGGACAGGAGATCTTTCCACCTTCTGTAGTCTTCCTCAATCTCTTTCTTCAGAGGTTTGTAGTTCTCCTTATAGAGGTCATTCACATCCTTCATTAAGTTTACTCCTAGGTATTTGACTTTTTTTTTTTGAGGCTACTGTAAATGGAATTGTTTTCATATATTCTTTCTCAATTTTTTTCATTGTTGGTGTATAGAAAAGCTAATGATTTTTGTAAGTTAATTTTGTATCCTGCCACCTTGCTGAAGCTGTTTATGGTGTCTAGGAGTTTTTGGGTAGAGTTTTTTGGGTCTTTGAGGTATAGGATCATGTCATCTACAAGTAGGGATACTTTGACAGTTTCTTTACCTGTTTGTAATCCTTTTATTTCTTCTTCTTGCCTTATTGCTCTGGCTAGGAATTCCAGGATTATGTTGAATAGGAGTGGGGAGAGTAGGCACCCTTGTCTTGTTCCTGTTAAATGGTTTCAGTTTTTCTCCATTAAGTATGATGTTGGTTGTAGGTTTGTCATGTATAGCCTTTATAATGTTGAGGTACATTCCTTCTATTTCTAGTTTTCTTAGAGCTTTTATCATGAAGTGGTATTCAATCTTATCAAAGGCTTTTTCTGCATCTATTGAGATGATCAAGTTTGCTTCTATTAATGTGACGTATTACATTTATAGATTTGCATATGTTGAACCACCCCTGCATCACTGGGATAAAGCCGACTTGGTCGTAGTGAATGATCTTTCTGATGTGTTGTTGGATTCGGTTTGCCATTATTTTATTGATTATTTTTGCATCGATGTTCATTAAGGAGGTTGGCCTATAGTTCTGCTTTTTGGAAGTGTCTTTGTCTGGTTTTGAAATGAGTGTAATACTGGCTTCATAGAATTAGTTAGGCAGTTTTCCTTCCCTTTCTATTTCATGGAACAGTTTAAGGAGGTTGGTATCAGTTCTTCTTTAAAGGTCTGATAGAATTCAGCACAGAATCCATCAGGTCCTGGACTTTTCTTTTTTGGGAGATTCTTTTGCTGCTTCAATTTCATTTTGTGTTAGAGATCTATTCAGGTGATTAATGTCCTCTTGGTTCAATTTTGGATGGTCATAAGTGTCTAGAAATTTGTCCATCTCTTCAAGATTTTCAAATTTATTGGAGTATAGGTTCTCAAAGTATCCTCTGATGAGTCCCTGGACTTCTGTGGTGTTTGTTGTTATCTCCCTTTTTGTGTTTCTGATTTTACTGATCATTTTAGTCAGATTTGCCAGGGATCTGTCAATCTTTTTCAAAGAGCCAGCTTTTTGTTTCATTGATTGTGTGGTTTTGTCATCACTATTTCATTAATTTTGGCCCTTATTTTTATTATTTCTCTCCTTCTGTTTGCTTTGGGATTTGCTTGTTCTTGTTCTCCTAGGAGTTTGAGATGTAGCATTAGGTCATTGATTTGAGATCCTTCTGTCCTTTTAATATAGGTAAGCATGGCTATGAACTTTCCTGTTAGGACCACCTTTGCTGTGTCCCATACATTCTGGGAGGTCATGTTTTCTTTTTCTTTTAACTTCCAGGAAAGTTTTAATTTCCTCTTTTATTTCATCAGTGACCCACTGATCTTTGTGCAGTGTGTTGTTCAGCTTCCAGTTGTTTGCATATTTTCTGCTCTTGTTTTTGTTGTTGAGTTCTAGTTTTAATGCACTGCGACCAGATAGAATACAGGGGATTATTTGTATTTTCTTATATTTGCTGAGGCTTGCTTCGTACCGTAATATATGATCAATTTTAGAGAAAGTTCAATGGGCTGCTGAGAAGAATATACATTGTGCGGAAGTTGGATGAAATATTCTGAAGACATCAGCTAGGTCCATTTGATCTATGGTGTGATTTAGAATTTACTGATTTTTTTTGTTTGGATGACCTATCTATTGGTGATAGGGGGGTATTAGATTCTCTCACTACCACTGTGTTGGAGTTTATATATGTTTTTAGGTCCTTCAGAGTATGTTTGATAAAATTGGGTGCACTGACACTAGGTGCATATAGGTTGATAATTGTTATTTCCTTTTGGTGTATTTCCCCTTTTATTAGTATGGAGTATCTTTATCTCCTTTGATCATTGTAAGTTTGAAGTCTACTTTGTCTGATACAAGTTTTGCTACTCCTGCCTGTTTTCGGGGGCCATTGGCTTGGTAAATCTTCCAGGCTTTCACCCTGAGCCAGTGTTTGTTTCTGTCAATGAGATGGGTCTCTTGCAAACAACAGATTGTTGGATCTTCCTTTTTAATGCACTTTGCCAAACAGTGTCTTTTGATGGGGGAGTTAAGTCCATTGGCATTTCAGTGTTAGTATTGATAGGTATGTGGTGATTCCTGCCACTCAGTTGTTTTTGTTGTTTAAGGGTTTGATTGTGTGCAGCTGAATCAATGCTCCTCTCTGATTCCTTGTGTTTTCTCCTCCTGTGGTTTGATACTGCCCATCCTCTCGTGGTTTTGTTTGCTTTCATCTTCTGTATGCAGAATTCCTTGGAGAATCTTTTATAGTGGTGGCTTGGTGGTCATATATTGTTTTAGTTTTTGCTTATCATAGAAGATATTTTATTGCTCCATCTATTTTGAATGACTGTTTTGCTGGGTAGAGTTCCTAGGGTTGAAGTTATTTTCATTCAGTGCCAGGAATACCTTACTCCATGCCCTTCTAGCTTTGAAGGTTTCCAGTGAGAAATCCACTGTGATTTTGATGGGTTTACCTTTATATATTAGTTGTTTTTTTCTCTCTTGCAGCCTTCAGTATTCTTCTATTCTATTCTCTGTGCTTGTTGTTTTAATGATAATATGTCTTGGGGAGGTTCTATTTTGGTCAAGTCTGTTTGGTGCCCTGGAGGCTTCCTGTGCCTGAATGAGCATAACTTTCTCAAGATTTGGGAAATGTTCTGTTACTGTTTATTGAATATATTATGAATCCCTTTTGCTTGGACTTTTTCTCCTTCAATGCCCATGATTCTCAGGTTTGGTCTTTCGATGGAGTCGGTGAGTTCTTGTATATTCCTTTCTCAGGTCTGAATTGTTTGACTAACAATTCTTCAGTTTTATCTTTCATTTCTATTTTATCTTCGAATTCTGAGATTCTGTCTTCCATTTGTTATAGTCTGCTGGAGTCGGCTTTCACTGTGTTTTGTGTTTTTGTTTGATTCTTTTATCTGAGGTTTTCCATATTATGGGTCACTTCCTCTTTAATATTTTCTATTTTCATCTTTAATTCATATATCTCTTTATTTATAGTGTTCTGTGTTTATTTAGGGCTCCTATGAGTTCATTTATTTCTTTTTGTGTCTTCTTATAGTCTTCATTTTTCTTGTCTTGAAATTTCTTGAGTGCATCTTGTACATTTTGGTTAATGGTGTCTACTGTCTTCTCCATGAAATTCTCAGTGATTACTTGCAGGATTTCTTCTTTGAGGCTGTTTTTGTGGGCTCCGCTGGGTTCCTTGGTGTTGGTCATCTTTGGTTTTTTGGGGGGTCAACCACAGGGTATCTATTTTGTTCATTTCACTGTGAATCATGTATTAAATTATTTTTTTTGAGGAGAGTAGTTTTGATCCCTTTTTCTTCTTCCCATTGCTCCACTTGGTGCTGGACAACTGTGTTCTTTATAGGCTAGGTGGTGGTTTTAGTCACCTGTTTTCTTTCCCTTGATTTAATTTTTGTTTTGTGGCTGTCTGGGATCTTAGCTAGGTTGGTGTGCTATTTCTGTCCCTGATCTGGGTGTAATTTAGTAATAACTAATTCACAGGTTCAATACCCAACCAGTAGTTTATATGTTATATAGAAAACCCCTTGGTGGTAATATCTATAAGCAGTGGGAGTTGGGGGGGTTAACATTTGTTAAGTCAGCTATAAAAATTTGGGAAGTTGGATAGGGTGGCACTAACAGGTGAGGTGAGAAGTGGGGTGGGTGAGTGGAAGAAGCAGTGTGGGGGCTGCTGGTTTTTTTGGTCCTTGTGTGTGCTGAGTGTATTTCTGTTGTTATAGTGGAGGGTTCTCTGTCAGGGATTGCAGGGTTTGGGACTGTGTAAAGTTGGTATACTAGGTTGGTCAGCAGGCGATGAGTGTGTAAGAGGAGGGGTAGTCTGGTGACAGGTTGGGGGTAAGTGGGGAGGGGAAGGTGATGGCAGGGGGATAGAGTGGATTAGAAGGGGCAGAATGAGTTGTTGGAAAGGACAACAATGGATTTTAGCACAGAAGAAAGAGGGAGAGTGAGGGGGTTGAGAGTGGTGCTGAGAAGATGATTCCTAGTCTGTAAAACAAGGCTGGCAATATTTTCCTCATGAAAATTTTAAGATAAGGATGAATAACATGAGTACATGGAAAATAAAGATTTTCAACAATGATGGTGTCCTTAGATTGTTAACTAATGTCCTTGGATTGTTAATCAAAATATTGAGAAATAAAGGAAAAAATTATCAAGAATGAAGAAAAAAAAGTTTTATATTAGCTGCTCACCACTATGAATTGTTGGAAGTTCCCTGGAACATTACAGATGAGTCCCAACAGGTGCTATTTCTTGAAAGGGTGGTCAGATTTCACATTATTCACAACACAGGTCCAGGGGTCTGAATCATCCTTTTTCTTCCCTAAATGTTTATTTTGTGATGTTGAGAAAGTAGAACTCATGCAAATTTAAAAATAAAATGCACCCACTTATTGTTGTTTTCTTCTGCAAGTCATTTAACTGGAGATCCTGAAGATAATTCTACACCTGAGAATGTGTTCCCAGAGGAGCCAGGCGGCTACTTCAACAGTGCAGGGCATCCTATTCCTCTACCTCCCCACAAAAATATGTTTGGAGATCCTGAAGATAAATCTCTACCTGGGAATGTGTTCCCAGAAGATCCAGGCAGCTACTTCTCTAATGAAGAGGGTCCTATTCCTCCATATCCCCCAGCGAATATGCCTGGAGATCCTCAAGATAATTCTCTACCTGGGAATGTGTTCCTAGAGGATCCAGGCAGCTATTTCATTAATGGATTGGGGCCTATTCCTCCACCTCTCCCAGAAAATATATCTGGTGATCTTGAAGCTAATTCTCCACCTGGCAGTGTGTTCCCAGAGGATCCAGTCAACTACTTCATTGATGGAGGGGGGCCTATATTTGTCCACCTCCAACCTCAAATATGCCTGGAGAGCCTGAAGTTAATTCCCCACCTGGCAATGTGTTCCCAGAGCATCCAGGTGGCTGCTTCATTAGTGGAAGTTGTCTTATTCCTCCACCTCTTGGAGGTGATATGGATGGAGATGCTGAAGGTAATTCTCCACCCGGGAGTGTGTTCCCAGAGGATCCAGGCAGCTACTTTATTAGTGCAGGGCATGCTATTCCTCCTACTCCTCAAGGAAGCACGTGTGGGTCTCCTGAAAATAAGTTGCCATCAGAGGCTGTGTCCCCAAATTCTCCGGAGATCCATCCCAGGAGAAGGGGGCCTCCTTCTCTTCTTGCTCCATCAGGAACCATAGCCAGAGCTCCTCAATCTTCTTTACCATCAGAAGCTGTATTCCCAAAGTCTCTGTGGAACCAGTTTCTAAGAAGGTGGTCTCCGTTTCTTCTTCCTCCACCAGGAACCATGGCTGGAGCTCCTCAACATCTTTACCATCAGGGGATGTAGTCACCAAGTCTCTGTGGAGCCAGTTCTTAAGAAGGGAGCCTCCTTTTCTTCTTCCTCCACCAGGTACTATGGCTGGAGCTTCTCAAGCTTCTTTTTTACTCCCAAAGTACGCATATTGCCAGTTCATGAGACAGGGCCTCCCTTTCCTGCGTTCTTTCCAGGAAAAAGGTCTGGAATACCTTGGTTTTATTTTTCGGCAGGGATTTCCCTGGCTCAGCACATCCTCCACTCCCAGTAAGAAATGTCTATTGACTGAGTGGTTTCCCCAGTCATCTTGCCCCCAAGAGCTGGATGTCCCCCACTGTACCCACATTGTCAAAGTGGAAGTGAGTGTTCTGCAGGTCGATTCCACCTTGAAATGATCCAGCTACTGAACTTCTAAAACCAAGAGAAGAAACCTGGCAACATTAGGATCTTCTTCCAAAGTCCTTCAGAATGCTCTCTTGTTTTCAATTTAAATTCCTGCTATTACTTACTCATTATTCTTTACCTTAAATTGAAGATTAATAGAATTATAATTCTCAGTATAGTATTGTATAGATGATTTAACTATGAATCCTATTATTTTATTTCCATTCTATTTTATTTAGGTGGTATATTTTATTTTCATTTAAATCTAGATAGTATAAACATGTTAATTTTATTGTTTAATCTACTATTACATAAACAGTGACTGGAGTTTGATGTATGTAACTTGCACTGGGGATATTTTAAACCCCAGCAGCTTTGCCTTCATGCCAAGTATTGTATTTACTATAATCGAACACCAGAGAGGAGGGAAGATCTCCTTTGAAAATATTTTTGACTTCTGTCTCAGTTTCAGTTTAAATTACTACTGCTTTTAGTCACTACATTTTACCTCAAAAAAAATTTTTTTTAAACTTCACTTCAAAATAAAACCTAATAGAATTATAATTGTCAAGATGCTATTTTATAAATTTATGATTTAAATGAAAATCTTTTTGCATGTGCTGAAGCAAACGAGTATGAATAAAGTCATGATAGTGTAAATTCTTTCTAAAAAATATGAATCTGTTTACTTCAATTCTATTTTATTTTCATTTAATTCTAGATAGTATCACTAGTTTAATTTGCTTATTTAATCCACTATTGCAGAAATAATAATTGGAGTCTTATGGATGTAATCTTGCAGTGGGGATTCTTTAAACTCCAAAGTCTGTGTCTTTATTCAAAAAAATGTGTTTACTCTATTGTATTGTGTTTCCAATGTGAAAGTGATGTCTCTTTTTAAGGTATTTTGACTCTCTTATTTTCAGTTTAAATTCACTACTGCTATTTGGTCATTATACTTTATGTGAAATTGAAGCTTAATTGAATTATAACACAAGACAGTATTTTATAAATATATATAATTTATATATGAATTGATTTTATTCATGTCATACATTTTGTTTTCATTTATTCTAGATAGTACAACTATTGTGATTTGATTATTTCATCCACTGTACAAAAAAATTGGAGTTTTATGTATGTAATCTTGCAGTGGGGTATTTTAAATCCAAAGGTTCTGTCTTTATTCCAGGAAATGCATTTACTCTAATTGTAGACAAATGTGAAAATAAAACTCTCCTTTCAAAGGACTTTGGAATTCTCTCTCATTTTCAATTTACATTACTGCTGTTATTTAATCATTACACTTTACCTCAAATTGAATCTTAGTAGAATAATAATTCTTAGGATGGCATTTTATAAATATATGATTTAAATATGAATCTTATAATTTTATTTTCACTCTATTTTATTTAAATAGCACATTTTAATTTCATTTTATTTCCAGAGAGTTTATTTTAATTTGATTATTTAAACCAGAATTACATAGCAAATAATTGGAGTTTTATGTACATAATCTTGCAGTGGGGCTCTTTCAAACTCCAAAGGCTGTGTCTTTATGCCAAGAAATGTATTCACTGTAATTGTAGACCAATGAGAAAGTAGCTTTATGCTTAATTAAATAACTTTTAATTGAACTAAAAGAAAATGCACAGAAATCATTCAAGATGATCATTAATTAATTCAGAATAAAACTCTGGATTATAAAATAAGACTCACTACATATAGAAGGAAAGAATACAATTAGAAAGAAATAGCTTCACTGGAAAAGTTTTACTATGCTTTTTTTGGTATTTATTTTTTATTTTTCAAATTTAAAAAAAATTATTGTTGTGCTGGGTAGGGGTAAATAATGGTCCTTACAAAGGTTCTTATAACACATGAAATACAAGAGACTTGAGTTCACCCCCTCCACCACTCTTCATTATCCCCCCTCCTTCTCTTTGAGGAATAGTTTCAACTGGTATCTTTGTTCCATTTATGTTCATATGTCTACAGTATTTGGACCATATTCACCTCTACCCCCTTTCCCCACGTCCTCCTCCCTCCCACTGGTTTCAAGCCCCCCTGCCTCTGGAAAGGAGTTGTTCCTCCCTCCTTTTTCTGATTTTGCAAAAGGAAAGAAAAAGAAATGACATTTTTGCTTATTTAAAATAGCTACACAGGGAATTTCCTGTGCACTTCCATGTATATATGTATTATAGGCCAATTTGCTTCATTTCCTCTTTCAGTTTTAGTCCCTTTCTTATGGTTGTTTCAACCAGTTTAAAAATTCTATATTCATTCTAGTATAGAGAGTGTATCAAGCACATTCTGCTCAGCTTCTTTCTTGTATACTCCCTGGCTGCTGTGTGACCTCCCTTGGTGCATCCTCTTTTCATTACTGCTACACTTGTGTCAGGTCTATATTCCACATTTGAGAGAAAACATGAGGCTTTTCAGCTTCTGAACCTGGCTACCTTCACTTACCATGATGTTCTCCAGCTGGGCACAGGAGGCTCAGACCTGTATCCTCTCAGGAGGCAGAGAGCAGGAGGATCGAGGTTCAAAGCACGCCTGGAGAAATAGTTCCTGTCTCAAAAACCCATCACAAAAAATGGTGCAGGAGTGGCTCAAGGTATAGGTCCTGAGTTCAAACCTCAGTACCCCAACCCCTCTCCCCCACATAAAAAAGCTCTCTCTTTTTGGAAAACAGCAGGTGTAGCATAGTATTGCATGTTTTTTTTTTTTTTTTTCTTTCTTTCTTTCTTTTTCTCATTGCTGGTGTTTGAACTCAGGCTTTGTAGGCAGGTGTCCTACCACTTGAGCCACTCCACCAGTCCAGTAACGGCCTCTACATGAGTCAGACAGTAAGTCCTTGGTCAGTATCAAAATCAAGTATCATGGACTGGAGGTTTGGCTCAAGTGGTAGAGCTCTGCTTTGCAAGTGGGAAGCCTGGAGTTCAAATCCCAATACTGCCAAAAAAAAAAAAAAGACGCATGTCATTTCAAGTAAGATCCATCACAAGTTTCTTGGAACAAAAATACTAATGGGGTCTAGAGTTAATGAAGAGCTTTGGCAGACTGTGAGCCCCTTCCTGCAATAGTGCTTTAGGATAGGGTCTTACTTTGATTTAGAGACAAGGTACGATTTTGTCCAGTGGTGATCCAATAGGGAAGTACATCTGCATTCATGTTTCAGTTCTGCCACTAAGTAATTATGAATCAGTGAGTAAATAATTGAAATCAGTATGTTTTCCAATGTGTACACCGATGCTTTATTGTTGTGTGAATGTCTTTATCTTCAGGACAAATGAGACCACGCACTACCCAGGAGGCTGAGATCAGGAGAATTGCTGTTCAAGGTCAGACTGGACAAAAAGTAGGCAAGACCCCATTTCAAGAAGTGAGTCTATGACCCCCGCTACAAGGAAGGCATAGGTAGGAGAATTGTGATCCAACATCAGACCCAAACAAAGCAAAATAAAAAACCACACAAGATCCTATCTGAAAAATGACTGAGAGTGTGAGTGTGACTCAAGTAGTACAGCACCTGTCCAGCAAATGTGAGGCTCTGTGTTCACACCCCAATACCACACACAAAAAGAATAAGCGAGGTCAGAGAGAAAGCACTTACAAAAACACTGAATGGGGTCAGCACATCTTCGAACTGGAAAAAACATGTTTGCCAACAGCCAGGCATGTTGGGGCACACCTTTTATGCCAGCATGGACGGCTGAGGCAGGAAGAGCTCTAATTCCAGGCCAGCTTGGGCTTCATCATGAAGTCCTGTCTCAAAAGTATCAAGGGAATTCAAATCTCAGAGGAACCTATCAGATTTTTGAGCAGATGGAGTTGTTCAAGTATAAGAGCACCTGCCTAGCAATTTCAACACCCCCCCACACACACACACATACCCAGCCCATTATAGAAAAAATACAAATCCCAAAAGTACTTTCAATGACCCTGGAACTGTTCTGAGTCCTAAAATTATTTTTTATCCTCTTAATTAAATGGTTTTCTTAAAAACAAAAGAAAAACAAATACCATGTGCCTCCAAGTTCCCCATTAAAACTGTTTTGAGGCCAAGAACTGTATCTTAATCACTTGCGTCATTTCCACACCCAGACACAGCCCTTGGAACTTAACAGGGTTCAATGCATGTTGAGTTATGCGCCACAAAAGACCTAAATGTGAAACCAGTTACCTAAATCCAATAGGTCATCAAAGTGATAAAAAATAGGCATTAGTAAGGGCTGAGACCTGGCTCAAGTGGTAGAACGCCTGCCAAGCAAACACAAGTCCCTGAGTTCAAACCACAGTACTACCAAAAAATTATATAGATATATATATATTTATAGATAGCTATTACATATACTTATCTATATCTCCATCAGTCAGTGAATTCATACATGGTAATGCTACTTTGACTTGTTGTCAGTCGGTGGAATCTTCCAATCCCACATTGCTCACCATACCTTACCACTTGATTAATACCTTTCTAGAAAATTACAACTCACCATAGCATAAGGCAGATGCACCATTAGTCCCATATCCCAAATTACACAAATGACGGCTGGTAGTGTGGCTCAAGTAGTGGAGCAAACATGAAGTCCTGAATTCAAACCCCAGTACCACCAAAAAATAAATAAATAATGATAATAAATTATACAAGTGAAATGAATTGAGATCTCCAAGCTTCAAATACACAGGGAAAATATCTAATGTTCATAAGGCTATTATGATAAGTATTCCTATGATCATTCTGAAGATTGATCATAATAAATCCCATAATTTTAAAGTAACAGCACCATTTTTTGCAGGGATGGAGGCCAAATTCAGGGTCACTGACACACTAGGCAATGCTCTACCACTGAATTACAACTTGAGTCCACTATTAACCATTTAGAAGGAAAGAAAAAAAATATCTGGGCTGATGGAGTGGCTCAGAAAGTAGGAGAGCCTGCCTGGCAAGCCTGAGGTCCTGAGTTCAAATCTCAGGACTGCAAAAATAAATAAATAAATAACCTCTCCTGGTGTTGGAATAGGTTATACTGAAGCCATCTGATCAAAAGTCAATGACCTTATTAGAGGCAAATTCAATGGACAGGTCTCTGGTCTTTGTTAGCAACATTAATCAGGAGGTAGTCTGTGAGGAGCTTCTCCCCTCACAGGATGTGTGCAGTCTTACTAATGTAATAATGGGAAGTTAATCTGTTTCAGGAAGATGCTTGCAGATCCTGTGGTGACTTATTTTTAAAAACATTGCTAACAATAAATTTGTTGTTTCAGCGTTTTTGTTATTTTATGTCTCTTTTTTCCTGAGGACAAAGAAATATATTTCAACCTTTGGTGCATCTGAGAAAGGTTTCAGGAATATAGAGGATCCCCAAAAATACTGCACAGGACTTCAAGGTGGTGGTTTCCTTAGCGAGGTGGGGAGGAATGAAATGGGAGGGTATACAAGAAGCTTCAGTTGTGTTTGTAACATTTATTCTCTTTTCCTTTTTGGGAATTGGGGTTTGAACTCAGGGCTTGGAGCTTGCTAGGCAGGTGCTCAACCATTGAGCCAGGTCCCCAGCCCTTTTTTCTCTGGTTGTTTTGGAGACATGGTCTTATTTTTGCCCAAGCCATCCTAGACCGTGGTCCTCGTATATTAAGCTTCCAGTTGGTGCTGGGATGACAGGTACATCCACTGCACCCAGGTATTTTCCCCTGCAATAGGGTTTCACTGCAAGCTGGTTTAGCACCACAATTCTCCTGATAATCAGCCTCAAGCAATCAATCAGATGAGTAATATTTCTACTAAAAACAGTGAGAGATTTACCTTCTAAAATTTGGATTTAAGGGCTCAAGTTGTGGCTAAAGTGGTACAGTAGCCACCTAGCAAGCACAAGGCCCTGAGTTTAAACCCCTGAACATCCAAAAACTAAAAAACAATAACAAAGTAGAGAAGGGAAATGCATGCAATTAAGTCAGATGGCCGGGTGCCAATGGCTCCTATCTAT